GGTATGTGTTCCCCTACTTGAGATCTAGCATGCCCTGAAAGCCCACAGTAAAGATGCAAGTAAAGCAGACAAGAAGCCTTCCTGTGGACCCCCAAAGAGAACCACGAGCCCCAAACCTCTGCTCCTCATTGTTGTCACTGTTTCAATTTAAGAAACCTGCAGGAAACAGTTTGGGTCTTGAAAAACAGTCTGGTGTCCACTTTTAAAGGAAAAACATCAATCTGGTTTTCATTTCCCTACTACCTAATTCCTTAAGTAGTTTAGTTTATTTTAAAATATAATTTAGCTTATTTTATTGTTCTCTCAACTCTTTAGTTAGCTCATATTAAGCTTATTACAGTAATTCTTAATCCCTATATTGTCTTATCTTCTTACTACTTTGCCCACATTTCTCTCATTCCAGCATTCCTTTACATTTTAATGATTTCACTTATGGACCCAGAAAAATATTTCTTGATTTTCTTGTATGTATCAGGCATTGATTCAGGCCCTGGAGACACCATGGTAACAAGATCTGAGTGAATTACATGAGGCTGTTTTGGAAACTGAATGTTTAAACGTTTGGTTATCATCCAATACATGAATAGTGGTATACAGTCTGTCCTTCAGAAGGAAGATTCTTTTGTTACAATTATAGGGCACACGAACACTATACACAGTTTTTGCAAAGGAGTATTGTTCTAAGTTTGTACACATATTAACCAATTTAATCCTCCCAATGATCCTCTGGGTCAGTATAAGCACCTCCATTTTCAGATGAGTACCCTGAGGCCCCACAAGCATAAGTGACTTCTTTAAAGTTAGTCAGTGGTGGTGTTGGCCTTGACCCAGGCAGTCTGGCTCTGGATTGCCTTTTTCTGACCCCATGGGGCTGAGGCCTCCTTAAGGTTTCCTTCTGACATAATGGAATTTAAAACAGCAGGAGGCAAGTAGAGGCGTTTGCTGGAAAAAGAATCATGTTTCAGAGAAAACTGGCAATAAATATTGCTGATTGGCTGCCTGATAAGGATGGAATGGGGTTTGAAGGATTTCATACTCTCATGAAATAAACATGTGATTTTGACCTTCCAGAGGTGACAGAAACTATTCTAAGTATTCCATCTTTATCTGCCCCCCCCACCCCCCCACTTTCAGCCTTCACTTTAGACTGTGTTCTTCTGGCAGAATCTTGCTCAAAATTGGCTGTGGCTTCCCAGGGCTGAAACACATATAAACTGAGAAACAGGGACACATCTGTCTTGGGACTAGCAAAAGGACAGCTGAGTTGCTTGCAAAAGCTAAATAGTATCTTGCACAAAACCCCCTCGCCTTTTTTGTGGGTGTAGGAACTAAAGTCCAGAAAGGTTAAATAAGATTTGCCAAAAACCACAGAGCTGAACCCTAAAATCTTCTATAAGCTCATAATCAAACTGGTCCTAGTGATGAGTAAGCCCCCTGTCTTGGATGTCATGGTCATTACACACATTACAAATAGTGGTCCCCAGACCACAGCTTCAGCATCACCTGGGAGCGGTTAGAAATGCAGACACTCGGGCCTCACCCTGACCTGCTGAATCAGAATCTGCGTTTTAACAAAACACCCAGGTGATCATGAATTTTGAAGTTAGAGAAGTGCTGGAATGGTCACTAATTACATTTTCTAGATATTTTACTTGTGGGGGTGGGAATTGATGTTGACTATATTAGTTACTAGAGGCCTGGTGCATGAAAATTCATGCACTGGAGGGGGGTCCCTCAGTCTAGCCTGCCCCCTCTCACAGTCCGGGAGCCCTCAGGGCCAGGAGGTGACCCGGTGATCAGGGGAAGGTGACACCCAATCATACCTCTGCTGCTGCCACTGCCATCAGCACAAGCCTCGGCCGGCCCTGGTTACCTGAGCCTCAGGCTGTCCTGGTTACCTGAGCCTCAGACAGCCCTGGGCAGCTGGGCAGCCGCCATTCAAGGCTTGCCTGTGCCTCGGGCATCGGCTGGGAAGCTGCCACACAAAGCTCGCCTGTGCCTCAGACCGGCCCTGGGCAGCTGGGGAGCTGAGGTGACTGGGGGACTCCGGAGGCAGGCGCAGGGCGGGCCCGGCCTTGCCACGTGCCTGCCACCCCAGCAGGGCTGAGGGGACTGGGTGCCACCATCTTGTGGCTGTGGGCGCCACCATCTTTGAGGGCGGGCAGTCAATTAGTATATTCCCTCCTTATTGGCTGTGGGTGCCACCATCTTTGCAATGGCAGGCGGGTCAATTAGCACATTCCCTCTTTATTAGGTAGGATGAGCACATCAATCTCTTGAAAAGGTATATTCTAAGCCCCACCTGGCAATTTAACCTAATGTTATCTTCAGTTTGTTTTATGGAACATCTAGACTTTTTATGATCCAGTCAGTCCTTGGTGAACATAATTTAATTTAAGGTTCCAGATGTAGAAAACTATGTTTTTATGAGATCCAGAAAAAAATGGCAAATAGTCCCCCATCTTTACACTGACTCATGCTGGTGTCTTTTTCTTCAAAGCAAGTTAATTACCTTTGTCAAATCCCAGCAAGTCCCTTTAGCATAATGAGCACACATAAATCTCATCCCAGCTCCTACCCAAGGTAACATGAAGTAATCAAAATAATAATAGTAACAGCGACTACTTATGTGGTGCTGACAATGTGTCTGATGCTGTTTTAGTAGTTTAATGTATAAAAAACTCACTTAATCCTCTAAGCAATCCTATATGATGGATGAGAACCCTGAAACACAGAGAGGTTAAGTGGCTTAACCAAAACCACACAGCTGCTTCACGGTGGGAATTCTAATCTAGGCCATTGGTCTCCAGCGTCCATACTGGTACCCACAACAACACATTGTTTCTCAAAGTTCAAATTAATACTAAACAGGGTTGGAAGAGTTCCTTATTAAAATTCTCTCATAATAAAAACCATCATTGACTTACGAAAATGTAATTCACTTCAATGATTTTACTCAACAAAAATAAGAAAACTTAGAGGCCAGCAGCTATCAAGACATTATTTTACAAAGTTAAAACATTACCGTTCATCTCTAATTCTTGATTATGACTGCAAGACTATGCAGTCTGCTGCTTGGAAGTGCTTTAAATGTCCTTGTGCCTGTAATTGGAATCAGCTCTGACATTAAAATGGCATTGTGTTTTCTATAAATGAAAAGCAGTTGTGAACTCGGAGGATTTGTGACATTGCTGGCTTTGCTTGCCTATTAAATCAGTGGTCTCATTTCTCATTTTAGCTGCAGACAGCTCAACACTGTTTGTAAAGGAAATGTTAAGGACAATTCCACAAAGCCTTGTGCTCTGGTTGAAGTGGAGACGGAGGTATCTCCTGACATGTCCCTAGAACATTAGAGTCCTGGAAACATGGAGTGAGAAGCCCCATAGGAAACAGAGGATGCAACTTCTCATGTGCATGAATTCAGCTCTCCTTAGGCCTCCCTGACTCCACACATAGCTACGTCCTTTGCCTTACACCAGAAAGACCCCACAGTATCTGAATTGTCTTCTGTGGCGCTGAAGGGAAGGGAACTCTTGCCATACCACTGGAAAGGGCACTGCCCAATGATTGATGAAACAGAAATGGGTCACAGAAATACAATGAAGGGTCATTTTCCCAACTGCAAAGTACACATAGAGAGCAGGCAGATATATTTGCTTAATAGGGAGCACATTTTGATTCTTTTTCCTTCAATTACTTCTGTTTGCACTGAAAACACAAAGCAAAATAATGCACATGCCCAGACCTGGTACAGGTAAAGAACTGTGGTTATAGCGTAGGAAATACAAAATCTGTAAGTCCCAACCAAAAATCATGAACATCCTGTTGCCCATGAAATGCACCCCACTGAGTGGTTGGCTAGAAGCCACTGTCAAGCCATTGTCCCTGTGGGTGTATCTAAACAAAATTTAAGTTTATATAAATTAGTGTGTAAAGTAGTTTGAAGTGCTGGCTGCCCACAGGGAGAATGGCAAAGTGGTTCCTAATTTCTTGATGCTCTCAGCTCCTGTTGGCTTGTGTGAAACTGGGTGTCAGGACCCCTATCAGGTCCCCTGGGATCCCATTTCTGTGTCCCCCACCCCAAACTCAAGGGCCATGAGTAATGACTTGGGGTAAGACAGCATGAAAGCCCAGCTGCCTAGCACTGGGGTGGATCAGGACAACTTGGAGGTGGACTGATCCTTGAGTGCCCATCCTCTTTGGGACTTTACCTAAGATGATACCCTTGCTTGGCTCATGCCCTTCCTATCCTGGTTTCTTTTACTGCCCCCCCCCCAGGGGAACTTCCTTTAAAATCAGTTACACATGAATTCTCATCTTGGGTTTACTTCTGGGAAACCCTACCTAAGAGACGACTCTATGTAGCTAACTTCCCAGCTGGCTGCTACTTTGAACTTGGCCTCCCCAGCAGCAGTTCTCATGTGCATCTGACATAGTACCTAGCATACCCTTTTCCTACCACAAATCTGTCCATAATCTTTAGCGTCAGTTGATCTAACGTGATTAAAATGGCGGGAACCTAAGCTGAAATATTATAGTCTTAGTTGAGAAGAATGTACAGTGTAAAACAAGTACGGGATAAATAAATGTTCAAATTAATTTTAAAATAAACCTTCAGGAAGTGGAGTTGGTTTTTGTTTTTGTTTGTTTCTTAGAGTTGGTGATCTTGCAGTTCCAAGGAGTTATAAACTCGCACAATAAGCAAAAGGAAAGACATTAAATCTGCACACACATTAAGATATACCTTGAAAATTGCTTTTTGACCACATTTTTAATATGAACTTGTTTTCTTATAATTTTTCTAACTCTCTGGGTTTGCATGTGGCAAAAAATTCTGGGTCCCATTAGTTCCACTTATTCTGACACCTCTGAAGCAAGTCCAGCCCATGAACTGTGGCACACTAACTGTGATGAACCCAGTGAGAACTGACAATCCAGACAGGGCCATCCTATGTCATTGAGCAACTCAGTTTTCACAAACACACAGCAGCATGGCTTACCTTTACTCCCAGGGCTTCTCCAGAGATGACAGCAACTGTCACACCATCCTTACTGGGTTTAGGAATTTCTTTACTTTTCAGTTCCTGGTACTGAGGCTCTACCATCTTCTCTGAGCTCCTCAAATTAACCCATAGTTGTAGGCCATGGGCTGGTTCCTCTGAGCATGGCATCTCGGCGTGAAGAATGCCTCGGCCTGCAGTCATCCACTGCAAATACCAGGCCAACAAGAGGGAAATGTAACCCAGGCTTGAATAAGGCTGCAGGTGGGACCATTATGACACAGTAACTAAGTGAGGTACCTTACAAGTGTTTCTTTCACAGCCCTGGGCCTCGTGAGGAATAAGAAAACAATGATAACTTCTGGAATCCTTTCTAGTTTTCCCAATGTATCCCATGCTTCCTATTTTAAATCAAAGCATCAGATCTGAAATTCATACTAATAGAAGGAGTCTCTCTTTAGTATCCTGAGTCTTCAGCTGAGCACTGAGATGGGGAGATGCAGGCAGACAGTATATTGGGAATTGCTCTTGGGAGGAGGAGGAAGAAAGAAGGAGAAGGAGGAGGAGGAGGAGGAGGAGGAGGAGGAGGAGGAGGAGGAGGAGGAGGAGGGAGGAGGAGAGAAGGAGAAGGAGAAGGAGAAGGAGAAGGAGAAGGAGAAGGAGAAGGAGAAGGAGAAGGGGAGAAGGAGAAGGAAGGAGAAGGAGAGGCGAAAGGAGAAGGAGAAGGAGAAGGAGAAGGAGAAGGAGAAGGAGAAGGAGAGGAGAAGGAGAAGGAGAAGAGAGAAGGAGAAGGAGAAGGAGAAGGAGAGGAGAAGGAGAAGGAGAAGGAGAAGGAGAAGGAGAAGGAGAAGGAGAAGGAGAAGAGAAGGAGAGGAGAAGGAGAAGGGAAATGAGAAGGAGAAGAGAAGGAGAAGCAAAGAAGGAGAAGAGAAGGAGAAGTCTAAGGAGCAGAGAGAAAGGAACGGAGAAGACGAAGAAGTAGAACGCAAGAAGGAGAACGTCTAAGGGAAGGAGAAGGAGAGGAGACTGAGACAGTAGAAGTCGAGCCTTAGAAGTAGAAGGAAAGGGCAGAGAAGAGAAGGCAGGAGAAGAGAGGAGAAGGAAGGAGAAGAGAAGGAGAAGGAGAAGGATGAGACTCATCAGAGAAGGAAGAGAATTCCGACTGATACGAGAAGGAGCAAGGGCTCGAGTACAGTAGAAGAAGGAGAATGTCTTATCTGAGAGGAGACTGTAAATTATCCTGATAAGGCCAGAGCCGTATCCTTCTCCTTATCTAGCCTCGTTCATCATCCGCCCTTCCCCTGGGCAGGGGGTGACGCCAGCCAGCAATACAGTTACAACAAAGGCCTTAGCCAATCTAACAGGGAGGTCTGAAGTTGGATAAACCTTCAGAATTGTCCCAAATTCAGATGAGGTAGCCAGGTTTTTTATCCCCACATCAGCAAGCCAGTGATTGTGTGTCAACCCCCCAGGAGGGAGCACAACCTTGGAAGAGGCAGTTCTTGCTGCAGTGGGCAGTGCCCAGGGTGGGATGCAGCTGTGAGCCATCAGCAGCCAATATTCACAGCAGCTGGAGAATGGGTAAGTGCAAGGGCCTAAAGATACATGTGCAGGCCCCATAGTATCCACTATACCATGGATGGGTGACTTGAGTTACTTGCTCAATTCCAGTAATGGAGCCCTCACTACTTGGAGAAAACAGTCATTGTCTTCACTGTTATGCAGATTCTTCAAGCATTCATTTATTCCTTTATTAAGAGCATATTAGGGAAGAAGAATGGAACATGATAGATTTCCTGCCTGTCTTAGCTTGGGTTCTCCCAGAGAAGATCCTGAGACAAAGACTTCAGTGCTGGTAGTTTATTTGGAAAATGGTGCAGAAAGCACAAGCAGGGAAGAGTGAGCTAGGCAAGGGAGAAAGCCAAAAAGGGGAGGTAATGAGCAGGTTACATCTGTGGGTATCTGGAGCTTAACCCCACAGGGATCCACACAGACATACTTTATAATTGTTGCATGGAGGGCAGAAGAATCACCACGTCCCTGGTCAGGGCACACCAGTCATCATATAGACTTTTCAAGGCCATCTCCACTTTATAATTCTGCTCCAGTGAAAGGTTACTGTTAACTTTTGGCCACAACTCTATCCTTTTGCTTTTTTTTCCCTTCAAATTCCATGTTCATTAAAACACCATGAGTCAAATATTTGCAGTTATTAATCTGCCAAAAATGTAAATGATCCCAGAAAGTAGCTGATACAGAGTTCGGATTTACAAAACTCGCAAAGATTACCCAAGCATTTCCTAGAGATTTTAAATTCTAATACATATCAGACAAGACTAGGATGGTGTCAGGGTTTGGGTCATTGTCTTAAGTGACAACACCTACTCCTTCAAATGAGCTAGAGATAAGTAGTAAACTGTTTCAAATACAGCAGAAAGGTCTATAAAGATGAGGATTAAAACTGGAATGCTGAATTTGGCAATTGGGACATTATGAGTGACCGTAACCTGAACAGCTTCATGAAATGTGTGGGGATTGCTGAGAGGCCAACACTGATTTCAGTGAGTGAAGAATGAAATGGAAGATAAAGGAAGTTGAGACAGTCACTCTTGATTACTCTTTTGAGAAATGCAAGTAAGAGAAAGACTAGGTGGGAATTAACAAGTGATTGAGGGAATCAAGAAAAGTGTGAAAGAGGAATACGAGAGACCTGTGCAAGTTTCCAGGTGTGAATGTACTGGCAGTTGGCAGATCAAACATGCATACCCAATGACTAGTAAACCATCAGCAATTCCTTGTTCTTAGCCATACCTGCAGGTCTCCTGGGTTCAACTGACCAACGTGTCCACAGAAGTCTTCATGGGCCATGCTGCCCCCTTCTAGGAGGTAAGATACCTTTGAAAAACAAGCATAAGAACAAGTAGGTGTTGGATCGCTGTGAATAGTTGTTTACTTTTCCCACAGAAAATAGGTTCAAGAGAGTTTCAGGAGTAAATAAGATAGTAAAGAGGGCCCAGCTGAGGGAATGAATCTCAGTGAAAGGGCAGTGCTAGCCCACACAACGTCTTTGAGATAATTTCACATAGGAGCCACTTCCTTCCAGCAGAGACAGACCTGGGCATGTCAGAGCTTAGACCAATAGGCCATGGCCCTGCCATGGTGGGTCCTGGAGCTCAGGGTGAAAGAGAAGCAGTTCCTGTTAAAACAACAGGGGCCCAGTGACCAATGCCACATCCACAAAGGTATGCGGAATGACAGACCTAAAAGCTAACTTGAGAACACTTAAAGTAAATGTATTTCTGACACCAGGCACATAAACTCACTAAGTAATCAATAAATGTTTGTAAAACATGTCAAATGAATTCATATGAATTAAAGTCAACTTTTCCAGAGGCAAGCCCATACTAAAGCTATAAGTGAAAAGAAATCTGGGCTGTTCAATAAAGTAGTCACTAACTGTGGTTGCCATTTTTTGATATTTCCATCCCTATGGAGATATCCTTTAACATTAACACTCCTAGGCTCTTGCTGTACTTCACCACCCCTGAGAAGGAAACAACTTAATCTGACCGGTGGACGTGAAAGCAGAAATTGCTTAGCTGAAGCCCTGCCCCTCTCCTTCCCACAGAAAGCAAGTGCCCTCTTTAACTCTGTCTCTGTGAGAAGGGCCAACCCTAATGGTGGTGACCTGCAGGAATCCCGCACAGCCAATGATATCTGAATGAAGTCTGTTTGTTTCAAGTGCAGTATTCAGAAGCCCAGTTGCCTGCATATATAAGCCATATTCCCCAATCTCAGCTTTATCAGAAGTAAAGGTATATTGTCTGCCATCTTTCTTACTCTTTTATCTTCTCAACTAGTTCAGAATTCAGACTAGGAAAACAGGCATTGTTTATTCTGCCTTCTCATATGTCAAACTAAGGTCAATGAAAGACGTGATACCATCGTACTGTTGAAATCTTATACCCTTATAATAATCCCACCTCTTCTTCAGCTATTGGGTGCCAGTTCCTGAAACTAAATGTTTATAGAGCACTTACTACAGTGCAAATCTGAGCTAGCTGACATAAGGACTTTCCATGTGTCACCCTGCAGAGCAATGTCATTGAAGTGTATAGAATGGCCTCAGTAGCAACTTTTATCCAAGCAGGTGACTACAGAAATTGAAGGTTCTAGATTGTGATGGTTAATTTTATGTGCCAACTTTACTGGGCTAAGGGATGCCAAGATAGCTGGCAAAACCTTATTTCTGGGTGCATCTGTGAAGGTGTTTCTGGAAAAAAATGAGCATTTGAGTCCATAGCATAAAGAAGATAGCCCTCACCAATGCCGGGGGATGGCGCATCACCTGATCCATTGAGGGTCCAAACAGAACAAAAAGGTGAAGGAAAAGCCAATTCTTGCTCTCTGTTCTTTAGATAGAACATTTATCCTCTTCTGCCCTTAGATCAGACTCTGGGACTTATACCAGTAGCAAACCCCCACTCCAGTTTTCAGACATTGGACCTTGAAATGAATTATATCACCAGCTTTCTTGGTTATCCAGCTTGTAGACACCAGATTGTGAGACTTCTTCACCTCCATAACCATGTGAAGCAATTCCCATAATAAACTCCTCTTTATATCTATCTCTGTATATCTTATTGGTTCTGTTTTCTGGAGAATCCTGACCAGATGTTAAGTCTTAAATCCCCACCTGGGAACTTAGTATAGCAATGGAAATAGTGCAACATTGGCTCAGAAATAGAAGAGACCCATTTGTATGGAAAATTAATAAATGATGACAGTCATTTCAAATCAGTGGGGCAAGGATCCATTTTCTAATGAACAGTATTGGAACAATTGATTGACCATATGAAAAAAGGGAGTAAGCTCCCACTATACACAGAAACATGTTCCAAATGGATGAGAGATTTAAATGTAAAAAAATACACTTCTAAGATTTAAATCTAAGGAGACAAGGATATAAAATGCATATGCAAATCGATCTTTGAGATTTTTATTATAACAAAAAGACAGGAACAATCTGGATGACGGGTTAATAGAATACACTTAGCTAAAGTATGGTATACCTATACAAGGGAATATTATGCAACTGTTAGAGTAATATTTATATGTAATATAAATCTCTATTACTGACACAGAAAATGACATATTATTTAATCAAAAAAGCAGGTTACAAAACAGTAATTTTATTTAAAGGGTTCATATACAATGATCCATGTAAATGGGTTTATTTAAATAACATTGGATCCAGTTATGTCAGGATATGCATAAAGGTGCTCTTACCAAAGGGGTTCATTCACCTGTGCACATTAAGCCCAATCAAACTTGAACAGGAGTTCTCTGCAAAGAAACTAAAGGTTTATTTAAGGAAATGATGCCAAACCTGGAGTCACACAGGTGAGCTGTTATCTAAGACCTGGCTCCCCGTGGCTCCCAGAGGATGGGTTATATAGGGGAGAAATCATTAATCATAGTAACTAAGGGAGTTAGGATCGTGGTCTCTATTGATTGATTGTTGCTAGGATAGGGGTAGCTGATCATTGTGGCTGGGCCTGATGTCAACCATGGCGTTGCTCTGTCTGGTTTCCCAAGGGTGTGGTCAGTGGGATCTTTCTGCTTTTCTGGGCCTGGAGCTGAAACACAACTGAGGCCTAAATGACATATTTAGTTTGACCATAGTCTGTCTCTATGGTCAACAGACCTAGCCTTTGTTCCTAAGATTAATTGATGCTGACCAGAATCTCATTGTCCTAAGGGCTTAGAGAACACGCAACAGAGAAGGAGGCAGGTGAATCAGAGTGTTCCTAGGCTGGACAAGGCCGGTTTAAATCAAAAGGAGAAAAGGTCAGAAAAGAAATGAAATTTCTGTGTGGTTACAGAGCCTGCATGGACACACAGCAAAATGTGAACTGTGGTCATCTCTAGATGGTGGAATTGCATCTACATGTTGTGGCCTTTCCACTTTTCTTATAGTTTGGGTGTTCTGGAATGAGTACTGTACTTTTGTACAACAAAAACAAGCCATTTGTTTTGGTAAAATATAAAGATGCTGCTGGTAATCCGTGAATGAACATAAGTGATATGCTTTGTTCCTAGGTGAACTTTGTTCCTATTAATGAACTGTTTTGGTGAACTAGGGCTGGGCAGGAAGGCAGTGAAACATATGGGAAAACACTAAGAATCAGAAGAATAACTCCATGTTACATGTGAGGACAATGTAGCTAGCTCTGACTTCAATGTATTAGCAAGTGGAGAAGATTTGGAAATGCGATAGAGGACACTCAGGCCAAAACAGGATTCAAGCACAAAGCTTAAAAATTCCAAATTTCAAAGTAGCAGCCCAACTACCAGGAGCATTGTCTAGAATTGCTTTCCTTTTCCTGTTATGCATGCATTTTTTAATTAAAAATAACTGCATAATAAAGGCAATTTTCATTGTTTGGGCTGAAACTCTCCTTTAGGTTCTCAAAGGGGTCTCTTTCAAATCATATTCTTTCCATCCCGTAAGATTTTTTCAATTATCCAAGTTGAGGGGCTTTCAAGTTGTTAATCATGTCAGGCAACTTTATAAAGTAAATTATGAAATTATTTCATTTAAAGATGAAAATGTACATGGACACCAAGAGAGGTTTTTGTTTGTTTGTTGGTGTTTTGGTTTTGTTTTTGCAAATTTTATTTTAGAAAGCAATTCCAACATTGTTTCTAAAAGATTGAGAAGCCAATTGAAAAGGATACCCTTTTCCTCTAGTTTTGAGGTAGGCATTTCTACTTCTCTCTGGTAATACAAAAGTAAACCTCACTTCTCCCATCCTAAATACTATAAAATCTGAATTAGAGAGGTCTGGTCTATGAGGATTTGCTGAGTCTGCAATGCCTACCTTTGACTACTTACAGCAAAAACCATACTTTTAGTCTTTTGGGGGAAATCTGAAACCAAAGAAATGACGGACTCTTTATGATTATCTATCTTTCATTTTATTTATTTTTGCTAAGCGGTATAAATGCTACACTGAGGCCTTAAGTCTAAATTAATGCCTGCAAAGAATTTTTTAAAAATCTCAAGCAATAATTTTTGAGTTGACACAATCCAGATGATTTTTTAGGACATTACATAATTGCTAACACCTGGAGATTTGCCATGGGTGGTTGATGGATTTGGGAATGTTATGTTTAAACTCAAGAGTTGCATGTTAAGTAAGAAATGTGTAATCGGAAACAGGTGTTTTCTTAAAGGACTTGTCATGCTTCCTGATCCTGCTTGTCCTTTTCCTTCTTCTAGCCCTAAACTTTCCATGGATCTCTACTAAATACTTTTGCTTCCTTGTCTGTTATTTCTTTTTGTATTTTGTGTGTTTGTATTTGGAAGGAGAAGGGTACAAACCCACAACAATAATGAAAGAAAAATGTCACTTGCAATGTGAAATTTAGGAAAGGTATACCTCAAAGAGCTATAAATTCAGCAGAATCACAGCACAAGATATAATATAGTTTGTTGTTTCTTTCTGGCTGATATTCAGAAGGAAGAGTGTGATGACCTAATTTGATATTACAGATGCAAGGCTTATTCTTTAAAGCAAAACGTCTATGTTATAGATAAAACTATGTTTTCTTATAATTTCTATTTGCCCTCAAATGGTGGTTTTTCTCTTGGTAGCTGAGAAGGAAAAGGAGGGGGGAAAAACACACAAGTTGAGTTCATGGCTGATGAAAAAGGCCTGAATATGAGATTCTGATGATCGTATTCCTGAATCTAACTATGCAGATGAGCTGAATTGCAGACTCCCTGAGAACCTTCCAGCTGCTTCTAAAACCCCAGAGCCAGGAATGCCCTTCCTCTTCAAACCCCACTCAGTATTCAATCTCCCACGGAATCTCCTCAGACAAACTCC